GTTAGCGGACGGTTCATCTAATAAATCTATGGAATCCGTAGATGGCGGCGTGATTGGCACTAAATTGCATTGCGTATGTACAAGCTTATTGCGGACCTCGTCGACGGATTTGCGCCGCTTGGGCGTGTAAACCTTGACGCATTTCCCTACCGTACTAGGAACGTCTGTGCTACTCACGGAACAGTGTTCCAAGTCGCTCTCGTCTTGCGAAAGGCTGGACTGCAACAGTGTCGAGACGGCAGTTTGTTCACGGTCGCTTATGTCACAAGAAAGATCACAGCATTGCTCGTACAGGGTAGGTTTTAAATCGGGACTATTACAATACGCTTCATCTTTGTCGCTGCTTGTGCACCTCGTTTGTACTTCGTTTACCTTAATTACGTGCGTGGATCCGGTATTAGTAATAGTATTGCTTTGCATACTTATATTTATATCAGGCGTCGAGAATAATAACATATCCGCTAGGTTCCTCTTGCCAACGTCGATATCATCCGCTTCTTCGTACAAAGTGTGTTCTACATCGTGCTCTGCATCCTCGATTATGTCGTTCTCCAAAGCTTGATTAGTAGTTGAGCTTATGTCGTTACTATTTCTATCAGTACAGACCGATGTATTTTCGTCCATGCTTAATTTATCGCACCTAACATGAACATAATCTTTTTCCATAAGCGAACTGTTCGCAACTCTTAAACTACAGTCTCCCCCCTGCTGCTTCAGGCAACTTCCAAAACTGTCCAAAATATTTTTGGAACCAACAATAGTATCGATCACAGATACTAATTACTTAACCTGAGAAGAACAAAAAACAAGTTAATTTTACATAATAATTATGCCGAAACATCGAATTGTCAAATATTGATTATTATTGCAATTATTAATGAAGTTATGTACCTTAAAAATTTGTGCTGCAGTATGTAAGGATGACAAATGCTGATGAGATATTGTAGTTTCTCCGCAATACATGAATTCGACCATGGCCTTCAAAATTTCAAAGTCCAAGTCTTTTAAAAGTATTATTGGCTCTTGACCCAAGTCTTGTTGTAGTATTTCCTATTATATGAAACAGAACAAGGAGAAAAAGTAAATAATAATGAAAGTGATAAGAGAATTGTGAAAGTTAAAAAGTAAAGGTAGAAATGTTTATACTTTTAAAGATTAACACTTGCTTATTATGTTTGAAATGCAGTTTTCAAATTGTTGATCATTATTTGGTGCAACAACGACAACTTACTTTGTAAAAGTTGCGTACAGAAAGATAATGACGTCATGCAGGCGAGATATTTTTATCTATGATATCTTATAAGTCATATTAAGGAAAGTAATAAACGCACTCTTAGAAAACAAACTCTCAAGTGTACATACTCGACTACCCTTAGAGATCATATGAATTAGTTATTTAATACCTTTCTAACAGCTGTTCTTCGAAAACTGTGAAAAGTATGCCCCTCAAACTTGGTTTCTTCAAATGTTTGTAAAGAACTAACGAAATTCCGAGATATACAAGGCTTTCTTTACTTTATACGAATTTTATATTATTCCTGCAAAATTGTTCTGCCGTAAATACACTGTATTTCCCAATTTTGAAATAAGTATAATAAAAATATTTTTTTTCTATCAAGAAAATAAGGAAAGTCCGAAGTCTTTTGCAATAAATATTACAAAAATGATACTTGGCAGACTTTGTAGAGAAAAATAGATAAGTGAAAAGCTTTTCTAAAGTGTGAACTAAGATTGTTGAGAATGCTCGAAATAATGTATAGTATATTTGTAACTATACATGTTTAAATAATTTTTCCAAATATTTTAAAGTATTAGAAGAAAGCATTATCCTCCTGATACATGATAACAATGACATCTTTTTTGTATTTAAGAAACAGATGTATAGAAAGTCATACATTTCTTACGAAATTAATATAAGCGTAATTCTAGAAAGATAAATTGATTATAAAGATATAATTCCAAATTATCATTACCTTACTTCATTGAGCAAACAATTAAGTGTCCTTTATCAATAAATAATTATATAGACAAATAATATAAAATAATTTTAAAAGACTAAGCATCCGCATAAAAGTTCATTCAACTAAATTTTAATAATACTGCTCAGTCATCAGCAGATCTGTAAGGAAAAGAGATGCGCATGGGAGCATTAATCAATATTGCATTTTCCTATAAACTGAATTTCAAATAATTTTCTAACAAATGAAAATAGTTACCTTTTGTGAAACATTTTAGAAATTTTTTAACTATTTCTATGATACATAGTTTTGTCGAAATTATATTTCCTATTATACTGCCTTGTAAAATGTCGTGAGAATACTTTGTAGCTTCTTAAATATGTTGATATTTTGTAGTACACTTAGGAAATGACAAAAACATGACCTTTGATCGGAGTACATATTTTGTAAATACACACATACTCTTGCAGTAACTAAATATTAATTACAGTCTCAAGCTGTAGAACATCGGCAAATTATCTCTTTAAATAAATTACTATCATTATTTAATAAAATATGTAATATTTAGTTCACACATAAATATTTTACTATATAAAATAATATCTATATCATCTTGATAAAAGTAATTTACACAATAAATATGTTCTGATATAGCTGTTGTGAAACTGCTAAAAACAGGCAATAAAATTTAGACATACAAATGATTAAACCAACACATAAGACATACAGATTAAATTTTTTAACACACATAAGATATGGTAAAAATAGCAAAAGGATAAAAAATATGTATTCTAATATTTATATATTTACCTCAAAATATATACTATTCGAAGCTAAAACCAGCTTGTGAACACGTAGTTTTTGTTCATCGCAGATCAACGTGACATCTACTAGAGCTTGACGTGCCAACAGACCACTGAATCTCTCCGTAATATATCCAGCATGGCCAGCCCACTGCAGGACGCAATCCTTTGGTATCTCAACCATGGCTACTGCAAAAGGAATATAATTGAATTTATATTGTCTTTACAGAATACATTAAAATTCTGAAATTTTGGTGGTCCAAAAATTCTACATTTAAAGAAAACAACATAAATAAAATAAAATAAATTGCCACAAAATTCACTAGAGAATGATGTCTAAAATAAATTTTAGATAGAAGTAGCATAGCTTATATAACATACACTGGAATAAACAGCAAACTGGTTTTAAAAAATGTGCATGTAGATACTAAAAATGCAATATGTATGAAAACAAAGCAAAATCAATTATTTTTTCCAAGTTATCCAATGATTTCTAACAGATGCTTGAAATGTGAAAATGTCTTTTAACTTGTGCTATAACAAAAATAGATTTACCGAATAAAACTTTTTTTTAAATTTGTCTCAGCAAATAAATCTAAAATGCAAACATACAATTTTTTCATTGAACATGTATGCATGTGTACTTAAATGAAAATAACTTAATGATAATAACAATGATAATAATTCTATTAATAAGAATAATATAAATAGATAGCTGGTGCACGATCTCGATGAAACTTCCAGAATACGGCAGAAAGCCATAGGAAGATAATGGTGAAAATGGAAAGTTTGTGACGTGAAAGATACCTTCTTCTTTGTGTACAGTTTCGAAAGTAGGATTTATCGGACGTGGTTTCAATCTCGTGAACTCTTTCGCACTCACCGGTACGGACAAGATTGTCGTCGACGTGCGCATCTGCAATTGGGAAGCAGCAGCGTCCTTCCCGCGGTCAGGCATAGATCGGAGAGGTGAAATGCGTTCGTTGTAACGTCGTTGGTGCGGACGCATGCGACCGCTTGTCGTCAATCGCCGACAGTACTTAGCACGTGCCCCGTCGAGACTCATGAAACGCCGGCGAGATCGTTGATCAGCAAAACCGACGGCCTTACACGACATTGGCCTCGCGATTTGACTTGCACCCCGATGATCGCGTCTGCCAAGAGCATAGTATAAATGAGACCAGTAGATAGGTAGGTTTACATTTACGGATATCCGGTGTAATGCGCATGCGCGGATTAATGGCAGCCAGCAACCAGTTAAAATTAATACCAATTGTAGGTAAGTAATATTGATTATTGCCATGAACGCTCTATTGCGTTCACAATTCATGTGTATTATCTGCAGCCAAAGGACGCCCCATCGTGTTCAAAGTGTTTATACTGTTTCCGTTAGATGGCGGGGACTGTAAAACAGAACTGATTAGTAATAAGTTAGCGCTAGAAACAAAAGCAATTATGTTTAAACATACACCAAAACATTCTTCCTTAAAAATTGCTCATTCGATATCCATATTTGCTTCACATAGTTAATTAATATTAATAATGTAATACTGTAGAAAATTCAGATCAGATATTCACATATAAGTTCTTTATTTTTATAAGAACTAATTGTAAAAAAACTAAATCCATGGAAATATATGTGTAAAAAAAAGTGGACATTTTTTTCGATTTACTTTTTTTATTATATATTGTTTATTTTACTACATATTGAATATATAATACTATATACAATAATTTAATAACATCAGAACATGTAATTTTAATTGAGAATAATCAATGTTTCTTGGGATATCTGTGCAATTTTTAAATATTATATCCTTTCTATCCATTTTTCTATATAAATTGGGCACAGTTCCATAATTTATAGACGAAATTGGAGTTAAAGCTCTGCGAAATTTAGTTTTAATTGGTTGGAAGCAAATTATAAAGTTCAATCTTAAAGTTAAAACAATATAAATAAAATAAATGATATCTGTTTCGGAATTTGCAAAACATTTTACTAAAAAAATAGAATAGTACGAAATGCATAATATTACTAAAATATTAAACGATAAACATATATGATGAGTGTACGGTTTAGATTATCATTGTAGCAAATATTTATTGCGAGCACCTTGAGATTTTCAATAGACGTCCTTTCGAAGCCTTACCGCACGGTATAGCACAATGATGATATTCGCAATTTATCAGCTACGTTATTAGCAGACAATGCGCAGGCTCTGTTTTCACGAAGTTATATAAAGGGGATTTCGACGTAAGATCGATCGCGATCCTTCATGCTGTTGTGTTTTCACCGATCATAGTAGCAGACGTCTCTCGTGATTTGTTGGGACATATGCGGTAAGGCTAGATGATATCAAACTCGATTCTTCTTAAAAAAAGAACTTCTATTAGAACTTGGTTGGTGACCTTCAATCAATTTTATTATAACATTAAATTTACTTTTACTGTTTAATTAGACTTAAAATTATTTAAACGATTTTGGTTTCATTATTTTTCCGATAACTATCTCCGTTATATGCATTTTTGTGAAAATAAAACAGATGATATCAAGAGAATTTATTTTAACATGTTTTACATCCAGTAAGGTTGGAGTTAATCTAAGTAATAATTTTGCTTTTTTATGAGGAATTCTTATGCATTAACGATTTCTTTCGTCAAAGTCCTGTGTTTAATACTCATACACGTATCGTAACTATAACGCTGAAATTGTTCACACTATGATTAGCTTATGTTTTAATCGTGACAAGACTAAATAATATGAAACGTGCGGATTCCATTTGAACGAATAAGACTAATAGACATAATCAATTTTGCGGCACCTTTTTGCATAGTAAACGTATCGAAGGAATAATTGTTAATATTTTAAAATGTTATTCACATGTCCTCTACAGAGCTATATTCTTTTTTCTGCTTTATGCGTGCACGTGGTAAATAATGAACAGTGTTGATTTTACAATTTAAAATTATTGCAAAGAGCAGATAAATTACAATATCTATTGAAACAATTTATAAATTCGTGTACATAAATCAGATTAGATTTTATGGTTTACTTGTTTGAACATTAATCTTTATATACGATGTTATGATCAAAATAAAATTTATATAATTTATATAATTTCAGATCAGTACGTACAGTATTTAATGATAATAAAATTTTTGTAGAAGGAGACATTATATTGACCAAACGTAGCTGCTAGAAATTCAATGAAGACAGTACGCGAAAAGATGAGTTTTAAAATACGCTTGATATTCGTACTTGTTACCATCAGCATGTTTAGGCATGAGACACTAGCACTTGTGCCGCATTGGAAAGGTAAGTGTTTTATTTCTCTGATATTGAACAACCACAGTAATCTTTTATTATATTTGCTATTATAATACCTTTCATATAATTTAGAGAACTCAAATTATTAATAATTATTTAATGCAGATATTTAGTTATCATAAATTGCCATAAGTTGCAAAAATATGAAATTATTAGTTTAATTTGCCGCAATGATAGAAAAAATATTTTGGCTGTACATAAATTGATATGTAATTTTTTTATAGTTTGTTGCATGCGTCATGATTTAAGTTTTTGCACAATGTATATCTTTTTTACAGCATGGAGGATGCCTAGAAGATGTTTTTATGACTTAGATCATGGTTATTGCTCTGACTATGAAAGGAATAATGAAACAAGGTTTTGGTTTAATATGTACAATGGAACATGTGTACCTTTTACATACTCGGGTTGTGAAGGAAATGAAAATAATTTTTATATTTATGAAAATTGTATGTATGTATGCCGGGGCAGATAAATACCTTTCGCAAGTTCTAAATTTAAATAATTTTTACAATTGATAAGTATTTGATAAGTATTTTAATAATAGTTTGATATTACTAAGTTTCAATACAATTACTAAATAAAAACTTTGTGGTCTTTATTAAATACTTGTAAAAGTGTTTTACTTTAACAATAAATGACTGTAATAAAATGAAAAATGTTCAAATATATATATATAATATGTAGAAATATATATGTGAATAAAAAAAAGTATTTCTTAATTTATTATTTTTTAACTTTTTCACTATATTGGGCACATAATAATACTACTTCTTTATTTGACCACATATTAAATATATAATACTATATACAATTATGTAATAACATCAGAATATGTAATTTTAATTCATAATAATCAATATTTTTTTAGATATCTATGTAATTTTTAAATATTGTATCCTCTCAATTCATTTTCCAAGTAAATTGGGCACAGTTTCATAATTTATAGACAAAATTAGATGTAAAAGCTTTGCAAAATTCAGTTTCAATTGATTGGAAGCAAACTATAAAGTTCAATCTTAAAGTTGAAACATTATAAATAACTTAAATGATATCTGTCCCAGGATTTGCAAAACATTTTATTAAAAAATAAAATAGTACGAAATGTATAATATTACTGCGATATTATTGAAGTATTAAACGATATATATGTACCTTATGATGAGTGTACGGTTCAGATTATTATTGTAAAAAATATTTATTGCGAGCACCTGGAGATTTTGAATAGGCGTCCTTTCGAAGCCTTATCACATAGTATATTACAACGATGATGTTCGCTATTTGCCAATTACGTTATTAGTAGATAATGCGCATACACTGCGTGTGGTTATAGAAAGGGAATTTCGGAATCGTTGAAAGATCGATCGCGATCTTTCATGCTGTTGTCTTTTGACCGACCAAAGTAGCAGACGTTTCTCGTGTTTTGCTGGGACATACACGATGAGGCTTGGAATTTGATTATCAAACTCGATTCTTCTTAGGAAAAAAATTTCTCGTAGAACTTGGTAAGTGACTTTCAATCAATTTTATCATAACATTAAATTTACTATTTAATTTGACTTAAAATTATTTAAACGATTTTTATTTTACTATTTTTCCAATAACTATCTTCGTTATATACATTTTTGTGAAAAGTAAAACAGATGATATCGAGAGAATTTATTTTAACATGTATTACATCCAGTAACGGTTGGATTTAATATAGGTAATAATTTTGCTCTATTATGAGGAAATCTTATGCATTAACTATTTCTTTCGTCAAAGTCTTGTGTTTAATATCCATACACGTATTGTAACTATAATGCAAAAATTGTTCACACTATGATTAGCTTTTTTTTAATCGTAATGAGACCAAATAATGCGGAACGTGCGAATTCCATTCGAACGAATAAAACTAAAAGACGTAACTAATTTTGCGGCATCTTTTTGCATAGTAAACGTATCGCGAAGGAATAATCGTTAATATTTTTCAATGTTATTGACATTTCTTCTACAGAGCTATATTTCTTTTTTTGCTATATGCATGCATGCATGTGATAAATAATGAATAGTGTGGATTTTATAGTTTAAAAGTATTGCAAAGGACAGATAAATTACATTATCTATTAAAACAATTTATAAATTCGTGTCCATAAATCAGATTAGATTTTATGATTTACTTGTTTGAACATTAATCTTTATATACGATGTTATAATTGGAATTAAATTTCTTTAATTTATATAATTTTAGATCAGTACGTACAGAAATTATTGATAATAAAATTTTTATACGAGATATTATATTCATCAAACGTAAATACTAGAAATTCAGTCAAGACGGCACACAAGAAGATGAATTTTAAAATAAGCTTATTACTCGTACCTGCTGCCTTCAGCGTGTTTACGCATGAGACACCAGTATCTCCTTCTTGTGGGAGAAGTAAGTCTTTTATTTCTCTCATATTAAACACTTACAGTAATCTTTTATTATATTTGTTATTATAATACCTTTCATATAATTTAAAGAACTCAAATTAATAATTATTATTTAATACGTATATTTAGTTATCATAAATTGCCATAAATTACAAAAATATAATGTTGTTAATTTAATTTTACCGCAATAATAGAATAGATATTTTTACCGTACATAAATTGGTATGCAATTTTTTAAAGTTTATTGCATGCGTTATGATTTAAGTTCTTGCACAATGTATATCTTTTTAACAGCGCAGATGATGCCTAGAAAATGTTACTATGAGTTAGACCATGGTGAATGCTATGCCTATCCATGGAAGAATGTAGTGAGATATTGGTATAATGTGACCGATGGAACATGTATACCTTTTGTTAGATACTCTTGTTCTGGTGGAAATGAAAATAATTTTGCAACAAATCTGGATTGCATGACTACATGCTGTCACAGATACATACCTTTCTAAAGTTCCAAATTTGAAATCTTTTGATAATTGATAAGTATTTGTAATAGTTAAATATTAAGTTTCAATAGAAGTACTAATTAAACAACTCTGTGGTCTTTATTAAATACTTGTAAAAGTGTTTTATTTTTATGTTAAATAACTGTAATAAAATAAAAAATGTACGGATATACATATATATAGAATATGTAGTAGCATATATGCGAATAAAAGAAAGTACTTATTCATTTATTTTTTTAAATCGTTTTCGCTATATTAGGCACATAATACTACGTACAATGATTTTATAACATTAAAGCATATAATAGTTTGAATAAAACTTAATCAGTGTTTATTTAAAATACTTTTTGGTTTAAAAAGTATCATCTTATATGGAATCACTGTAATTGTATTAAATTATTATCAAAATTATTGCACACATACAACAGAAATTGTATACTTTTTTTTTATATTTAGATATTTAACATATTGAAAAAACTTGATGTGCTTTTTAAATATGTAAGGTAAATAAAAAACAATTTCAAGTAAGAAAAATTAAAATTTTAAAATTTTTTAACTTTATTTATTATTTATGAGTAGATAAATATTATAATAACTTTATGTTAATTAAATTACATTTCTCTGACGTCAAATATTCAGTGTCAATATTTCGATCAAATACACATGTCGCAATACACATGTGGTCAGTTGTGCACAAGTAATAAGTTAGCACTAGGAATAAAAGTAATTATGTTGAAACATACAAAAACTTGTTCTTTAATAACTTGCTCCTTCAATATCCATAAATGTTCTACTTTAATTCATATTATATAATAATGTAATACTGTATGAAATTCAGATCAGATATATTACATATAAATTCTTTATTTTTATAAGAACTAATTATAACAAAATTAAATCCATGGAAATATATGTGTAAGAGAAACTAAATTTTTTATGTTTTACATTTTTTATTATATATTATTTATTTTACCACATATTAAATATATAACACTATATACAATTATGTAATAACATCAGAATATGTAATTTTAATTAAGAATAATCAATGTTTTTTGAGATATCTATGCAATTTTTAAATATTGTATCCTTTTTACCCATTTTCTATATAAATTGTGCACAGTTCCATAAGTAATAGACAAAATTAGATGTAAAAGCATTGCAAAATCTAGTTTTAATTAGTTGAAAGCAAACTATAAAGTTTAATCTTAAAGTTAAAACAATATAAATAAAATAAGTGATATCTGTTTCGAGATTAGCAAAACATTTTATAAAAAACTAAAACAGTACGAAATGTATAATATTACTGCAATATTATTAAAGTATTAAACAATATACATGTACTTTATGATGAGTGTAGGATTCAGATTATTATTATAGCAAATACTTATTGCGATCATCTTGAGATTTTCAATAGGCGTCTTTTCGAAGCCTTACCGCAAGGTATACCACAACGATGATGTTCGCTATTTGCCAATCACGTTATTAGTAGACAATGCGCAGGCTCTGTGTGGTTATACGAAGGGAATTTCGGGATCGACGAAAGATCGATCGCAATCCTTCACGCTGTTCTCTTTTGATAGACCATAGTAACAGACGTCTGCCGTGATTTGCTGGGACATTCACGACGAGGCTTGTAAATATATCGAACTCGATTCTCCTTAAGAAAAAAACTTCTATTACATTTTGGTAAGTGACTTTCATTCAATTTCATTATAACATTTAATTTACTGTTATTATTTAATTAGACTTAAAATTATTAAAACAATTTTCGTTTCACTATTTCTTCAATAACTTTCTTCGTTATATGCATTTTTGTGAAAATAAAACAGATGATATCGAGAGAATTTATTTTAACATACATTACATCCAGTAAGATGGGATTTAATATAGGTAATAATTGTGCTCTTTTATGAGAAGACTTTATGTATTAACGATTTCTTTCGTCAATGTCCTGTGTTTAATAACCGTACACGTATTGTAACTATAACGCCAAAACTGTTCACACTATAATTAGCTTATGTTTTAATCGTGACAAGACCAAATAATATTGAACGTGCGAATTCCATTCGAACGAATTAGACTAATAGACATAATCAATTTTGCGGCACCTTTTGGTATAGTAAACGTATCAAAGAAATAACCGTTAATATTTTACAATGTTATTCACATGTCCTCTATAGAGTTATGTTTCTTTTTCTGCTTTATGCATGCATGTGATAAATAATGAACAGTGTTAACTTTACAATTTAAAATTATTGCCAAAAACAAATAAATTATATTATCTATTGAAACAACTTACAAATTTGTGTACATAAATCAGATTACATTTCATGATTTACTTGTTTGAACATACAATGTTATGATTAAAATAAAATTTATTTAATTTATATAATTTCAGATCAGTACGTGCAATAATTATTGGTAATAAAATTTTCGTAAAAAAAGACATTATATTGATCAAACGTAACTGCTGGAAATTTAGTCAAGACAGCAAACAAAAAGATGAGTTTTAAAATAAGCTTGTTGTTCGTACTTGCTACCTTCAGCATTTTTAGGCATGAGACACTAGCAGTGCGGTGGGGAAATAGTAAGTGTTTTTTTTCTCTCATATTGGACACTCACAGTAATTTTTTATTATATTTGCTATTATAATACTTTTTATATAATTTAGAAATTTCAAATTATTAATAATTATTTTATGCATATATTTAGCTCATAATTGCAAAAATATGAAGTTGTTAGTTTAATTTTACCGCAATAATAGAATAGGTATTTTCACTGTAAATAAATTAAAGTATTATTTTTTATAGTTTATTGTATGCGTCATGATTTAAATTTTTGCACAACGTATATTTTTTTTACAGCGTGGGTGATACCTGAAATATGTTACGATAAATTACACCATGGTGATCCTAATTCTTTTTCTTCCAAGAAAATAGTGAGGTATTGGTTTAATGTGACCGATGGTGAATGTAAATTTTTTGAATACACAGGTTACGGAGGCAATAAAAATAATTTTCCAACTTATGAAGGTTGCATGTTTATATGCTCTTAAAGATACATACCTTCCCGAAGTTACAAATTTAGAAAACATTGACAATTGATAAGTATTTGTAATAGTTAAATTTTGAATTTCAATGAAAGTATTATATAAAAAATTTAGTAGCCTTTAGTAAATACTTGTAAAAATGTTTTATTTTTACAATAAATGACTGTAATAAAATAAAAAATGTACTTATAAATATATAAAATATGTAATAATATTTATGTGAATAAAAGAAAATACTTCTCAATTTATTATTTTTAATCTTTCTCGCTATAATGGGCACATAATACTATGTACAATAATTTAATAACATTAAAGTATATAATACTTTGAATAAAACTTAATCAGTGTTTATTGAAATACTTTTTGGTTTAAAAAATATCATCTTATATGGAATCACCGTAATTGTATTAAATTATTATCAAAATTATTGCACATATGCAACAGAAATTGGATTTCTTTTTATATTTAGATATTGTATAAGTTTCATGTGTTCTTTAAATATGTAAGGTGAATAGAAAACAATTTCAGGTAAGAAGTATTAAAATTTTAGAATTTCTTAACTTTATTTATTATTATGAATAGATAAATATGATAATAACTTGATGTCAAATAAATTACATTTCTCTGACGACATATAATCAGTGTCAATATATCGATCAAATACACATGGCGCATAACACACGTGATCGGTTGTGCACCAGTAATTAGTTAGCACTGGGAATAAAAGTAATTATGTTGAAACATACAAATAACTTGCATTATACTTGCTCCTTTGATTTCCATAATTGTTCTATTTTAATTGATTAATATTAATATCGTATTACTATATGGTATTCAGATCACATATAAGTTCATTATTTTTATAGGAAATTACTGTAACAAAATTAAATCCGTTGAAAGATACGTGTAAGATAAACTGAATTTTTTTTGTTTTACTATTTTATTATATTATATTATTTATTTTACCATATATTAAATATATAATACTATATACAATTAAGTAATAACATCAGAATATATATATGTAAATTTAATTAAGGATAATAAATGTTTTTTGAGATATCTATGCAATTTTTAAATATTTCCTCCTTCCTATCCATTTTCTACATAAATTGGGCACAGTTCCATAAGTTATAGACAAAGTTGGATGTAAAAGCTTTGCAACATTTAGTTTTAATTAGTTGGAAGCAAACTATAAAGTTTAATCTTAAAGTTAAAACAATATATATAAAATAAGTGATATCTGTTTCGGGATTAGCAAAACATTTTATTAAAAACTAAAACAGTACGAAATGTATAATATTACTGCGATATTATTGAAGTATTAAACAATATACATGTACTTCATGATTAGTGTACGGTTCAGATTATCATTATAGCAAATACTTATTGCGAGCACTTTGAGATTTTGAATAGGCGACCTTTTGCCTTACCGCATAGTATACTACAACGATGATTCGCTATTTGCCAATCACGTTATTAGTAGACAATGCGCAAGCTCTGCGTGTGGTTGTAGAGAGGGAATTTCGGAATCGATGAAAAATCGATCGTGATTCTTCATGCTGTTGTCTTTTGACCGATCATAGTAGCAGGCGTCTCTCGTGATATGCTGGGACATACACGACGATGGTGGAACTTGATTCTTTTTAAGAAAAGAACTTGTCTTTGAACTTGGTAAGTGATTTTCAATTAATTTTATCATGACATTAAAGTTATTATGTAATTAGACTTAAAATTATTTAAACAAATTTTGTTTCGCTATTTTTCCAATAACTATTTTTTTTATATGCATTTTTGGGAAAAGTAAAACAAATGATATCGAGAGAATTTATTTTAACATATTTTACATCCAGTAAGGTGGGATTTAATATAGGTAACAATTTTGCTTCTTTATGAGGAAATTTTATGCGTTAACGATTTTTTTCGTCAAAGTATTTGTCCTGTATTTAATACCCATACACGTATCGTAACTATAACGCTAAAATTGTTCACACTGTAATTAGCTTATGTTTTAATCGTGACGAGAGCAAATAATGCGGAACGTGTGAATTACATGCGAACGATTAAGTCTAATAGCCATAATCAACATTGCGACACCTTTTGGCATAGTAAACGTATCAAAGGAATAACCGTTAATATTTTACAATGTTATTCACATGTCCTCTACAGAGCTATATTCTTTTTTCTGCTTTATGCGTGCATGTGATAAATAATGAACAGTGTTGATTTTACAATTTAAAATTATTGTAAGGAACACATAAATTACATTATCTATTAAAATAACATATAAATTCGTGTACATAAATTAGATTAGATTTTATGATTTACTTGTATGAACATTAATTTTTATATATGATTTTATGATCGAAATTAAATTTATTTAATTTTTATAATTTCAGTTCAGTACGTACAGATAATAAATTTTTCATAGAAGGAGATATTATATTAGAAATTTAGTTAAGACAGCACACAAGAAAATGAGTTTTAAAATAAGCTTGTTATTTGTACTTGTTGCTTTCATCGTGTTTACGCAAGAGACATCAGCATCTCCACCTTGTGGGGAAAGTAAATGTTTTATTTCTTTCATATTGAACACTTACAGTAATCTTTTATTATATTTGCTATTATAATATTTTTTATACAATTTAGAAATTTTAAATTATTAATAATTATTTTATGCATATATTTAGTTATCATGAATTGCAATAAATTGCAAAAATATAATGTTGTTAATTTAATTTTATTGCAATAATAGAATAGATATTTTTACCGTACATAAATTGATATATTATTTTTTATAGTTTATTATATGCTTTATGATTTAAGTTTTTTGCACAACGTACATCTTTTACAGCGAATACCTGGATGTTACCTGGAAAATGTTACTATAGGTTACACAGTGGTGATGACATTGACGATCCATGGATGAATGAAATAAGATATGGGTTTAATGTACTCAATGGATCATGTATACCTTTTGTATACTCAGGTTTCGGAGGAAATGGAAATAATTTTGCAACTTATCTAGATTGCATGACTACATGCTGTGACAGATACATACCTTTCCAAAGTTAGATAATATTTACACTTGATAAGTAGTTGTAATAGTTAGATATTAACTTTCAATAGAAGTACAAAATAAAAAACTGTGAGATCTTTACTAAATACTTGTAAAAATGTTTTATTTTTACAATAAATGACTGTAATAAAATGAAAAATGTACGTATAAAAATATAAAATATGTAAAAATATATATGTGAATAAAAGAAAGTATTTCTTAATCTATTATTTTTAATCTTTTTTGCTTTGTTGGGCACATAATACTACGTACGATAATTTAATAACATTAAAGCATATAATAATTCGAATAAAACTTAATCAATGTTAATTAAAATATTTTTCTGGTTTTAAAAATATTATCTTATATGGATTCACAATAATTGTATTAAATTATTATCAAAATTATTGCACATATGCAATAAAAACTGTATTTTTTTTTAATATTTAGATATTTGACATATTGTAAAAGTTTGATGTGCTTTTTAAACATGTTAAGTAAATAAAAAACAATTTCAGGTAAAAAGTATAAAAATGTAAAAATTTCTTAATTTTATTTATTATTATGAATAGATAAATGTTATAATAACTTGATATCAAATAAATTACATTTCTCTGACGTCAAATAATCAGTGTCAATATATCGATCAAATACACATGGCACAATACACACGTGATCGGTTGTGCACCAGTAATTAGTTAGCACTGGGAATAAAAGTAATTATGTTGAAACATACATATAACTTGCATTATATTTGCTCCTTTGATTTCCATGATTGTTCTACTTTAATTAATTAATATTAATAACGTAATACTAAGATGAAATTCAAATGAAATATTCACATATAAGTTCGTAATTTTTCTAAGAATTAATTGTAACAAAATTAAATCCGTTGAAATATACGTGTAAAAAAAACTGAATTTTTTTTTGTTTTACTTTTTTTATTATATATTATTTATTTTACCACATATTAAATATATAATACTATATACAATTATGTAATAACATTAGAATATGTAATTTTAATTAAGAATAATCAATGTTTTTTGAGATATCTATGCAATTTTTGAATATTGTTTCCTTTCTATCCATTTTCTACGTAAATTAGGCACAGTTTTATAATTTATAGACAAAATTAGATGTAAAAGTTTTGCGAAATTCCGTTTTAATTAGTTGCAAGCAAATTATAAAGTTCAATTTTAAAATTAAAACATTATAAATAAAATAAATGATATCTGTTTCGTGATTTGCAAAATATTTTATTAAAAAATAAAGCAGTACAAAATGTACAATATAACTGCGATATTATTGAAGTATTAAATAATACACATGTACTTTATGATGAGTGTAGGCTTCAGATTATCATTATAGCAAATACTTATTGCGATCACCTTGAGATTTTCAATAGGCGTCTTTTCGAAGCCTTACCGCAAGGTATACCACAACGATGATGTTTGCTATTTGCCAATCATGTTATTAGTAGACAATGCGCAGGCTCTGCGTGTGGTTATAGAAGGGGAATTTCAAAATCGATGAAAGATCGATCGCGATTCTTCATGCTGTTGTCCTTTGACCGATCATAGTAGCAGGCGTCTCTCGTGATATGCTGGAACATACACGACGAGGCTTGGAACTCGATTCTTCTTAAGAAAAGAACTTCTCTTAGAACTTGGTAAGTGACTTTCAATCAATTTTATCATAACATTATATTTACTATTTAATTAGATTTAAATTTATTTAAACAAATTTTGTTTTACTGTTTTTCCAATAACTTCCTTTGTTATATGCATTTTTGTGAAAAGTAAAACAGATCATATCAAGAGAATTTATTTTAACGTGTATTACATTCAGTAAGGTGGGATTTAATATAAGTAATAATTTTGCTCTTTTATGAGAAGATCTTTGCATTAACGATTTCTTTCGTCAAAGTCTTGTCTTTAATACTCATACACGTATCGTAACTATAAGGCCAAAATTGTTCACACTATGAATAGCTCATGTTTTAATCGTGACGAGAGCAAATAATGCAGAACGTGCAAATTCTATTCGAACGATTAAGACTAATAGACGTAATCAATGTTGTGGCACCTTTTGGCATTCTAAACGTATCAAAGGAATAACCGTTAATATTTTACAATGTTATTCACATGTCCTCTATAAAGTTATGTTTCTTTTTCTGTTTTATGCGTGCATGTGATAAATAATGAACAGTGTTGATTTTACAATTTAAAATGATTGTCAAGCACAAATAAATTATATTATTTATTGAAACAATTTATAAATTTGTGTACATAAATTAGATTACATTTTATGATTTACTTGTGTAAACATACAATTTTATGATCAAAATATAATTTATATAATTTATATAATTTCAGATCAGTACGTGCAGTAATTATTGATAATAAAATTTTCGTGGAAAAAGACATTATATTGAAGAAACGTAACTGCTAGAAATTCAATAAAGACAGTACATGAGAAGATGATTTTTAATATAAGCTTGTTATTTTTACTTGCTACCTTCAGCATGTTTAAGCATGAGACACTAGCATTTCGGTGGTGGGGAAGTAAGTGTTTTATTTCTTTCATATCAAACACTCACAGTAATCTTTTATTATATTTGCTATTATAATACTTTTTATATAATTTACAAATTTTAAATTATTATTATTTATTTTATGCATATATTTAGTTATTATAAATTGCTATAAATTGCAAAAATATTGATGTTGTTAGTTTAATTTTACCGTAATGATAGAATAGGTATTTTTACTGTACATATATTGATATATTATTTTTTATAGTTTATTGTATGCGTTATGATTAAAGTTTTTGCACAACGTATATCTTTTTTACAGCGTCGAGGATACCTCTAAAATGTTACCAAAAGTTAGACACTGGTGATTATTCTACTCATATTTCCATGGATATAGAGAGGTATTGGTTTAATGCGCACTATAGATCATGTGAATCTTTTGCATACTCGGGTTACGGAGGCAATGAAAATAATTTTGCAACTATTAGAGAATGCATGATGACATGCTCTAAAGGATACATACCTTAACGAAGTTTCAAATTTGGAAAACATTGACAATTGATAAGTATTTGTAATAGTAAGATATTGAATTTCAATAAAAGTACTATATAAAAAACTCTGTGGTTTTTATTAAAAACTTGTAAGTGTTTTATTTTTACACAATAAATGACTGTAATAAAATGAAAAATGTACGTTAAATATATAAAATATGTAAAAATATATGTGAATAAAAGAAAATGCTTTTTAATTTATTATTTTTAATCTTTTTTGCTATATTGACCACATAATACTACGTACAATAATTTAATAACATTAAAGCGTATAATAATTTGAATGAAACTTAATTAGTGTATCTTGAAATATTTTTTTGATTTAAAAAATATTATCTAATATGAAATTATTGTATTTGTATTAAATTATTATCACAATTATTGCACACATGCAACAAAAGTTGTATTTTTTTTATATTTAAATAGTGTAAAAGTTTGATGTGCTTTTTAAATATGTAAGGTAAATAGAAAACAATTTTAGATAAGTAGTATTAAAATTATAGAATTTCCTAACTTGATTTATTATTTATGAATAGATAAATATTATAATTACTTGATGTTAAATAAATTACATTTCTCTGATGAAAAATGTTCAGTGTCAATATATCGATCAAATACACATGGCGCAATACACACGTGATCAGTTGTGCACCAGTAATAAGTTAGCACTGGAAATAAAAGTAATTATTTTGAAACATAGAAAGAACTTGTTCTTTAATTGCTTTTTTGATATCCATAAATGTTTTACTTTGATTAATTAATCATAATAATGTAATACTGTATGAAACTCATATCAGATATATCACATATAAGTTCTTTATTTTTATAAGAACTAATTGTTACGAAACTAAATCCATGGAAATATATGTGTAAGAAAAACTGAATTGTTTTTTGTTTTAACTTTTTTATTATTAATTATTTATTTTAACACATATAGAATATATAATACGATATACAATAATTTAATAACATCAGAACATGTAATTTTAATTAAGAACAATTAATGTTTCTTGGGATATCTATGCAATTTTTAAATATTGTATTTTTTCCTATCCATTTTGTACGTAAATTGAACACAGTTCCATAATTCATAGACGAAATTAGATGTAAAAGCTCTGCGAAATTTAGTCTCAATTGGTTAGAAGCAAATTATATAGTTCAATCTTAAAGTTGAAACACTATATGTATATAAAATAATTGATATCTGTTTCAGGATTTGCAAAACATTATATTAAAAAATAAAATAGTGAAATGAAATAACGAAATGTATAATATTACTGCGATATTATTGAAGTATTAAACAATATATGTACTTTATGATGAGTGTACGTTTCAGATTATCATTATAGCAAATACTTATTGCGAGCACCTTGAGATTTTCAATAGGCGTCCTTTCGAAGCCTTACCGCAAGGTATACCAAAACGATCATGTTCGCTATTTGCCAATCACGTTATTAGTAGACAATGCGCAGGCTCTGCGTGTGGTTATAGAAAGGGAATTTCGGAATCGTTGAAAAATCGATCGCGATCCTTCATGCTTTTGTCTTTTGACCGATCATAGTAGCAGACGTCTCTCGTGATTTGCTGGGACATTTACGACGAGGTTTGAAATTATATCAAACTCGATTCTTTTTAGGAAAGGAACTTCTCTTAGAACTTTGTAAGTGACTTTTTTTCAATTTTATCATAACATTAAATTTGCTTTTACTATTTAATTAGATTTAAAATTATTTAAACAAGTTTTGTTTCACTATTTTTCCAATAACTTTCTTCGTTATATGCATTTAAGTGAAAATAAAACAGATGATATCGAGAGAATTTATTGTAACATGTATTACATCCAGTAAGGTGGGATTTAATATAAGTAATAATTTTGCTTTTTTATTAGAAAATTTTATGCATTAACAATTTCTTTCGTCAAAGTCCTGTGTTTAATACTTATACACGTATTGTAACAATAACGCAAAAATTGTTCACACTATGATTAGCTTATGTTTTAATCGTGACGAGATCAAATAATGCGGAACGTGCGAATTCTATTTGAATGAATGAGACTAAGAGATAAAATCAATTTTGCGGCACCTCTTTGCCTAGTGAACGTATCGAAGAAATAACCGTTAATATTTTTTAATGTTATTCACATGTCCTCTACAGAGCTATATTTTTTTTTTGCTATATGCATGCATGTGATAAATAATGAACAATGTTGATTTTACAATTTAAATTTATTGTAAAGAACACATAAATTACATTATTTATTGAAATAACTTATAATTTTGTGTACATAAATTACATTAGATTTTACGATTTACTTGTATGAATTATCTATATACGATGTTATGATCGAAATTAAATTTATTTAATTTATATAATTTCAGATCAGTACGTACAGATAATAAAATTTTTATAGAAGGAGACATTATATTGATCAAACGTAATTGCTAGAACATCAGTCAAGACAGCACACAAGAAGATGAGTTTCAAAATAAGCTTGTTATTCGTACTTATTGCCTTTAGCGTGTTTACGCATGGCCAAAGACCACCTTCTCTTAGTAAAACAAGTAAGTGTTTTATTTCTCTCATATTGAACACTTACAATAATCTTTTATTATATTTGCTATTATAATATAATATCTTTTATATAATTTAGAAATCTCAAATTATTGGTAATTATTTAAATCATATATTTAGTTAACATAAATTGCCATAAATTGCAAAAATATTAAATTGTTAGTTTAATTTTATCACGTTGATAGAATAGATATTTTTACTGTACTTAAACTGATATGTAATTTTGTATAGTTTACTGCATGCGTTATGATTTAAGTTTTTGCATAACGTTTATTTTTTTTACAGGGTCGAGGCTGCCTGCAGAATGTCACTATTTATTACACACTGGTGATCGTTCTTTTCATCGTTCCAAGAATATAACGAGGTATTATTTTAATGTGACCAGTGGACAATGTTTACCTTTTACATACACGGGTTACGGAGGCAATAGAAATAATTTTGCATCTTATACAGAATGCATGAATAGATGCGGTCGGGGATACATATCTTCCCGAGCTTACCGAAGTATCAAATTTGAAAAACATTGACAATTGATAAGTATTTGTAATAGTTAGATATTGAATTTTAATGAAAATACTATATAAAAATTCTGTGATCTTTATTAAATACTTGTAAAAGTGTTTTATTTTATAATAAATGACTGTAATAAAATAAAAAATGTACGAATATACATATATAAAATATGTGAAAATATATATGTGAATAAAAGAAAGTTCTTAATTTATTATTTTTTATCTTTTTCGCTATATTGGGTACATAATCTACGCAATAATTTAATAACACTAAAGCATATAATTATTTGAATAAAATTTAATCAGTGTTTCTTGAAATATTTTTTTGGTTTAAAAAATATTATGTTATATGGAATTACCGTATTTGTATTAAATTATTATTACAATTATTGCATACATGCAACAGAAGTTGTATTCTTTTTTTATATTTAGATATTGTAAAAGTTTGATGTGTTTTTTTAATATGTAAGGTAAATAGAAAACAATTTCAGGTAAGAAGTATTAAAATTTTGAAATTTCTTAACTTGATTTATTATTTATGAATAAATAAATATTATAATTACTTGATGTTAAATAAATTACATTTCTCTGATATGAAATGTTCAGTGTCAATATATCGATCAAATACACACGCAGCAATATACATGCGGTCAGTTGTGCACCAGTAATAAGTTAGCACGAGGAATAAAAGTAATGTTGAAACAAAAAAAAACTTGCTCTTTAATTGCTTCTTCAATATTCATAATTATTTTACTGTAATCAATTATTATTAATAATGTAATCCCAGCGAGGAATGACTCGTCGAATTGTTGTCGAATTAACATCAATATGATGTAATATCGATGATTTCGACGTCAATTAGACATCAATTTGACGTCTATTCATAAGTCATTTCTCGATGGGATACTGTATGGAATTTAGATCAGATATTCACATATAAGTTCTTTATTTTTATAAGAATTAACTCTAACAAAATTAAATTCGTTGTAATTTATGTGTAAAAAAACTGAAAATTTTTTTGTTCCAGTTTTATTTTTTTAATTATATATTGTTTATTTTACCATTTTGAATATATAATACCATATACAATGATTTAATAACACCAGAACGTGTAATTTTAATTAAGAATGATCAATGTTTCTTGGGATATCTATGTAATTCTTAAATATTGTATCCTTCTTATGCATTTTCTACGTAAATTGAGCAAATTTCCATAATTTATAGACAAAATTAAATGAAAAAAATCAGCAAAATTAAGTTTTAATGGATTGGAAGCAAACTATAAAGTTCAATTTTAAAGTTAAAACAATATAAATAAAATAAATGATATCTGTTTCGGGGTTTGCAAAACATTTTACTAAAAAATAGAATAGTACAAAATGCATAATATTACTGAAATATTAAACGATAAACATGTACCTTATGATGAGTGTACGGTTTAGATTATCATTGTAGCAAATATTTATTGAGAGCAACTTGAGATTTTCAATAAACGACCTTTCAAAACCTCACGATACGCACGGTATACCACAAGGATGATATTCGCAATTTATGAGCCACGATAGCAGACAATGCGCAGGCTCTGCGTGTGGTTATACGAAGGAAATTTTGGGATCGACGAAAGATCGATCGCGATCCTTCACGTTGTTCTCTTTTGATAGACCATAGTAACAGTCGTCTGCCGTGATTTGCTGGGACATTCACGACGAGGCTTGCAAATATATCGAACTCGATTCTTCTTAAGAAAAAAACTTTTATTACATTTTAGTAAGTGACTTTCAATCAATTTTATTATAACATTTAATTTACTTTTACTATTTAATTAGACTCAAAATTGTTTAAACGATTTTCGTTTCACTATTTTTTCAATAACTTTCTTCGTTATATGCATTTTTGTGAAAATAAAACAGATGGTATCGAGAGAATTTATTTTAACATGTATTACATTCAGTATGGTTGGATTTATTATAGGTAATAATTTTACTCTTGTATCAGAAAACTTTATGCATTAACGATTTCTTTCGTCAAAGTCTTGTGTTAAATATTCAAACACGTATTGTAACTATATCGCAAAAATTGTTCACGCTATGATTAGCTTATGTTCTAATCGTAACAAAACCTAATAATAATGCAGAACGTGAAAATTCCAATCAAACGATTAGGTTTAATAGCTATAATTAATTTTGTGGCACCTTTTTGCATAGTAAACGTATCGAAACGATAACCGTTAATATTTTACAAGGTTATTTACGTGTCCTCTACAAAGCTATATTTCTTTTCCTGCTTTATGCGTGCATGTGATAAATAATGAACAGTGTTGATTTTACAATATAAAATTATTGCAAAGAATAGATAAATTACATTATCTATTTAAACAACTTATACATTCGTGTACATAAATTACATTAGATTTTATGATTTACTTGTTTAAACATTAATTTTTGTATACGATGTATGATCAAATTGTAATTTATATAATTTTATGATATAACTTCAGATCAGTACGTACAGTAATTATTGTTATTAAAATTTTTATAGAAGGAGACATTATTTTGATAAAACGAACTGCTAAAAATTTAATTAAGACAAAGAACAAAATGAGTTTCAAAATAAGCTTGTTATTCGTACTTGCTATCTTCAGTATGTTTAGGCATGAAACGTTCGCATCTTGGTTTCGCAACAGTAAGTGTTTAATTTCTGTCATATTAAACACTCACATTAATTTTTTACTATATTTGCTATTATAATTCTTTTTATATAATTTAGAAAACTCAAATTATTAATAATTATTTAATGCATATATTTAGTTATCATAAATTTCCATAAATTGCCAAAATATGAAATTGTTAGTATAATTTTACCGCAATGATAGAAAAGATACTTTTACTGTAAATTGATATGTAATTTTTTATAATTTATTGCGTGCGTCATAATTTAAGTTTTTGCACAATGTATATCTTTTCTACAGGTTGGAGGATGCCTGAAGAATGTTTCAATAGATTGGACTATGGTAATTGCACTGACTATGTTGGCTATGTTGAAAGTACGCGCTTTTGGTATAACGTGACCAATGGAACATGTTCACCTTTTAAATACGCGGGTTGCAGAGGAAATAGTAATAATTTTTATACTTATACAAATTGCATATATGCATGTCGTGACTCAATAGTATCCGATAGAAATTTCACAATTGATGAGTACGTGTAATAGTTTAATATTGAAATAGTTTGGTCTTTAAGTAGAAATACCAAATAAACTCTATTAAATCTTTATATAATATTTGTAAAAGTGTTTTATTTTTATATAATAAAAACATAATAAATGACTGTAATAAAATAAAAAATGTAATAAATATATAAAATATGTAGAAATATATATGCAAATAAAAGAAAGTCTTTTTTTATTTATTATTTTTTATCTTTTTTTTAATATTTAACACATAATATTGTACTACGTACAATAATTTAATAACATTAAAGCATATAATAATTTGAATAAATTTTAATTAGTGCTTATTGAAGTATTTTTTTAGTTTAAAAAATATTAGTTTATATGCAATTAGCGCAATTGTACTGAATTAATCTCGTAATTATTGCACTCATGCAGAAGTGCTTTCAACAAAGGTTGTATTCTTTTTTTAGATTCAGATATTTAACATAGAGTAAAAGTTTGATATGCTTTATAAATATGTAAGGTAAATAAAAAACAATTTTAAGAAAAGTTAAAATTTTAGAATTTTTTAACTTTATTTATTATTTATGAATAAATAAATTTTATACTAACTTGATGTTAAATGAATTACATTTTTCTGATGTCAAATTTTCAGTGTCAATATATCGATCAAATATCTACACATGGCGCAATACACACGTGGTCAGTCGTGGATTACTTAATTAATAAGTTAGCACTGAGAATAAAAGTAATTATGTTGAATCCTACAAAAAACTTGCTTTATAATTGCTTCTTTGATATTCATAATTGTTCTACTTTAATTAATTATTATTAATAATGTAATATTGTATGAAATTCAGAGATTCAAGATCAGATATTCATATAAGTTCTTTATTTTTATAAGACTTAACTGTATTAGTAATAAAATTAACTGTCTTTTAATTGTAACAAAATTAAATCCGTTAATATTGTATATGTGTAAAAAAAATTAAACATTTTTTTCGTTTTTTTTTTACTTTTTTTAATATATATTGTTATTTTATCATATTGATATATAATACCATATATTTACATAATTTAATAACATCAAAGCATGTAATTTTAATTAAGAACAATCAATGTTTCTTGTGATATCTATGTAATCTTTTAATATTGTTTCTTTTGTATTCATTTTTATGTAAATTGAACACAGTTCCATAATTTATAGACGAAATTAGATGTAAAAGTTCTATGAAATTTATATTTAATTGATTGGAAGCAAACTATAAAGTTCAATGTTAATGTTAAGACAATATAAATTAAATAAATGATATTTGTTTCGGGATTTGCAAAACAATTTATTAAAAAATAAAATAGTACAAAATGTATAATATTATTGCGATATTATTGAAGTATTAAACGATATATTTACATGTACTTTATGATAAGTGTACGGTTCAGATCATTATTGTAGTAAATATTTATTGCGAGCATCTTGAGTTTTTTAATAGACATCTTTTCGACGCCTTACCGCACGCCTTACCGCACGGTATACCACAATGATGATATTCGCAATTTATCAGCCATGTTATTAGCAAACAATGCGCAGGCTCTGCGTGTGGTTCTAGAAAGGGGATTTCAGAATCGAAGAAAGATCGATTTCGATTTTTCATGCTGTTCTCTTTAGACCGATCATAGTAGCAGACGTCTTTCGTGATTTGCTGGGACATATACGACGAGGCTTGGAATGATTTTGAATTTGATTCTCCTTAGGATAAAAACTTGTATTACATCTTGGTAAGTAACCTTCAATCAATTTTATTATAACATTGAATTTACTTTTACTATTTAATTAGACTTAAAATTATTTAAACGATTTCACTATTTTACCAATAACTTTCTTCGTTATATGCATTTTTGTGAAAAGTAAAATAGATGGTATCGAGGACATTTATTTTAACATGTATTACATCTAGTAAGGTTGAATTTAATATAGGTAATAATTTTGCTCTTTTATGAGAAAATCTTATGTATTAACGATTTCTTTCGTCATGGTCCTGTGTTGATTACTTATACACGTATCGTAACTATAATGCCAAAATTGTTCACACTATAATTAGCTTATGTTTTAATCGTGACAAGACTAAATAATACGGAACGTGCGAATTCTATTCGAACAAATAAAATTAATAGACATCAATCAATTTTGTGGCACCTTTTGACATTGTAAACGTATCATAGGAATAACCGTTAATATTTTATAATGTTATTCAATTTTTACAATGTTATTACAATGTTATTCACATGTCCTCTACAGAGCTACATTCCTTTTTTTGCTTTATGCGTGCATATGATAAATAATGAACAGTGTTGATCTTACAATTTAAAATTATTGCCAAGAACAGATAAATTATATTATCTATTGAAACAACTTATAAATTCGTGTACATAAATTTGATCACATTTTATGATTTACTTGTTTGAACATACAATGTTATGATCAGAATTAAATTTATATAATTTATATAATTTCAGATCAGTACGTGCAGTAATTATTGCTAATAAAATTTTCGTAGAAGAAGACATTATATTGATCAAACGTAACTGCTAGAAATTCAATGAAGACAGTACATGAGAAGATGATTTTCAAAATCAGTTTGTTATTCGTACTTGCTATCTTCAGCATGTTTAGGCATGAGACACTAGCATGGCGGTGGTGGAGGAGTAAGTGCTTTATTTCTTTCATATTGAACACTTACAGTAATCTTTTATTATATTTGCTATTATAATATTTTTTGTATAATTTAGAGAATTTTAATTGTTAATTATTATTTAATGCACATATTTAGTTATCATAAATTGCCATAAATTGCAAAAATATAAAGTTGTTTGTTTAATTTTACCGCAATCATAGAATTGATATTTTTACTGTACATAAATTGATATGTAATTTTTTATAGTTTATTGCATGCGTTATGATTTAAGTTTTTGCACAATGTATATTTTTTTTACAGAGTGGAGGACGCCTGAAAAATGTTACTTTAAGTTGGATCATGGTAATTGCACTGACTATACTGACTATAAGGAAAGTACGTGTTTTTGGTTTAATGCGACCAATGGAACATGTTCACCTTTTAAATACGCGGGTTGCAGAGGAAATGGTAATAATTTTAATTCTTATACAAATTGTATGATTGCCTGCATCAACACAATATTTGAAAAAAATTTTACATTGGATGAGTATGTGTGATAGTTTGATATTAAATTTAAATTGAAATATTAAATGAAAAACTCTGCGAAGTCTTTATAAAATACTTGTAAAAGTGTTTTATTTTTACAATCTATGATTGTAATAAAATTGAATGTATAGATATATATATATATATATATGTAAATATGTATATATATAAAATATGTAGAAATATATATGTAAATAAAAGAAAGTACTTTTTAATTTATTATTTTTTACCTTTTTCGCTATATTAGACACATAATAATACTACGTACAATAATTTAATAACATTAAAGCATATAATAATTTGAATAAAACTTAATCAGTGTTTATTGAAATATTTTATTAATTTAAAAAATATTATTTTATATGGAATTACTGTAATTGTATTAAATTATTATCAAAATTATTGCACACATGCAACATAAGTTGTATTCTTTTTCATATTTAGATATTTAACATATTGTAAAAGTTTGATGTGCTTTTTGAATATGTAGTGTAAATAGAAAACAATTTCAAGTAAGAAGAGTTAAAATTTTGGGATTTCCTAACTTTATTTATTATTTATGCATAGATAAATATTATAATAATTTAATGTTAAATAAATGACATTTTTATGATGTCAAATGTTCAGAGGCAATATATCGATCAAATACACATGGCGCAATACACACATCAATAATTATTAATTTTTATATATAAAAACTCAACAAAAATTAAAAATCTAACAATAGAAATAAAAGAAGCGATTAAGAAGCAATTTTTCTATAAGAACAAATTTGAAAAAAAAAATGTAAATAAGGTTATTTGTTAAGTAAAAATTCGTGATTATTTTCGGGTAATAGCATTATTAATATTAATTAATTAAGTGGAGCATTTATGAATATCAAAAAAGCAATTAAAGAGCAAGTTTTTTTGGTTTCAATATATTTTATGTTTCAATATAATTACTTTTATTCCCAACGTCAACTCTTTATTAATATGTATGGATTGTAAGTTTACTCTACAATTTTTTGCCATATATTTAAACTAATTTTGTTTGTGTGTGTGTGTGTGAGTGTGTGATGGCGTCTATTTAATTAATTACTATAAGACATTTAATTATACAAATATTCTTAATGTAATATAATATAATATAATTGTTGTTAAATAAAAGATAGAAAAATTTCGATTAAAAATATTGAAATGATTGATACTGTATTTTATTAATTCATAAAAAATTATATGCTGTTTTAAAAAAATTTACCTTTGTTAAAGATTCAAATCTCCAAGTCAAGTGGGCGAGAAGATTCTGTATTGTACGAAAAAGATTCTAACATTATATTATATTAATTTTATTGATCGAGATAATTTTACATTAAATCCTAACTAAATTGTTTTTCAATTAAGAACAATGGGTGTGTTTTTGCTTTTATAATTTTATAAAATATTTTATTTTACAATTCTCTTTTTGGAAAAAATGTGTTTACTCAACTTTAACGTTTAAATAAATACGTCACAAGCAATACTGATTTTCATTTGCTTTACAAAAATAAAAGTTTAAATATAATACAATATAATAATACAAATAATACAAATTATTATTTTAATAATAATACAAATTACTTTCAAAATTAACACTTTTAAATTATTGTATGTCTTAGATTTAGTTATGCCTTATGCTAGTCCATGCTCATTATCAGAAACCAAAACCAAGTTTTCCAAGTTCTATTATTGCATTTGAGCTAATAACTGTTGCAGATCTGATCACCAATTCTAATAAAAATTAGATATAAGAATAAAATAATTGCGACGCTATTATTTATGTATTAAGCAAGCAAAGATATCATTATAATTATATTAAAAAAAAAAAAAAAGTTAAATGTGCTTTAGAGAGCAGCTGAGAAAACATAGACTACACTCTTTACGGGTCAAACATCAGAATCTTGAAAATTCGAGTTCATTCATTCACCCATTCGATCAGGACCATCCGCACCGCGGACGGTCACGCGTGTCTAGCTACTTAATTTGTTGTTATCGGATTAGTAGTTGATTCTAAGATGGTCGCGGAGAGGCCGACGGTAGACACCGAAGCCGCGATCGCGTCCAATTCTTCCTTAGACAGCATCTCGTTGAGCCAGGCGTCAATTATCGGCACGTTCTCCTCATTCCACTTGGTCTCTTGCTTGATGTTTTTGAGCGCCTTCTTGATGATAGCGTCCGCCGATTCGAACTCGTCCTGATGGTCCGTATAAAGCTTGTTCACCATATCATAGCCCTCCTGCGTGTTGAACGACGACGTGGCAAAGTTGACGATGCCGTTCCAGAGGGTGGTCTTGTTCTCGAATCGCTCCTTCACGGTATACCAGTGCTCATGCAGGAAGTTGAACAGGGTCTTGTAGCCGGTCGCGCTGCTGGTCAGCATGCTGAAGATCAGGCGGATGTCCGTGTCCGTAATATTCTCATTCTGGTCCAGCACGGCTTCCTGCAGCAACCTGCATGTGCGAAGAACAAGACCGATCGCCATGGATATCAAAATTCCGGCGAAAAGTGACGTTTATTTATTTATTATTGGTAGTATTTATTTATTTGTTAAAATATATTGTTGTTTGTTATATTTACTGTGCAATGCAATTATTCTTATTTATTTTTATTTATTCATCATGCGAGATGTAACGAAACTGTCGTTCTTTTTTCCAACTTTTATGAGAAGTATTTATGGAAGCTGAACTTGTATTATCAAAGCCGTCGTTTGCCGTTTAATTTCTTATTCAGACAGCGCGCATCAAACTTTTAAATGATCCACTTTGCTTAAACGGCGTAAGGAAACGACGGCAGAAAGGATGCTCGAGAACTTCACGAAAACTGTATCTAATTACCCGTTTAATTATCCGTTTGGCTGTATTGCGAGGAATAAAATTTATTCGACGCTAAAAGTTGCATGTATCCTTGCGAATATACCGACCTTTCGATTTTGTTCGCATCCTTCGGGCACCCGGCAAGGGTCTTCAATAGGTAAGTGCGCTCGTTCTGCTTCCTCGCCAGACTGGTTTTGGGGAAATTTATTACACGCTGCAATCCGAACTCCCATTCGTCGTCGGTGCCCCATTTGAACACCGGGCAGAGGAATTCATTCGCGACCCTACAAAGTGTAATTTTCGCATTTTTTGTTATAGATCAAACATTTCATTGATTCTTCTGTTTGGTTCAATCTGTGCTCAATGATTTCATAAAACATGCCATAATTAAACTATAATCTCTGACTATTAATTCAAGCAGTTAAATAGTTAAATTCTTTGAGAAAGTTAATTAAACTTTTGATGGCATTCGGCATACTAACGGGTTTCCTTTGTCCGGTTCTTCGTCGATTAGCCATTTCTTGAATTGATCTCTCGCTTCCTTAACGCAAGGTTCGTATCCAGCCCGGCATAGGAAGTTTTTCACAAGGATACGAGCGTGATTTTTCCAGGAGGGTTCACTGGGCTGCGGGGTCTCGCCAAGTTCCAAATAGAGGGGCTTCAGTAAGTTTCGGATATAAGCCTGATAAAATTTAATTTAATTAACGTATCCTAATTTGTAGATTAAAATTGAAAATTGCATGTAGAAAATGAGGAATTTTAAAAGGTGACAAGAAAAACGGATAAGATCCGAGGAAGTCGATTATAATTGAGTTAATAAGTAATTTCCGCTAATTGATAATTTCCGCAATATTCGCTAATTTATCATAGGCATGCGAAACGTGACGCTCTGCATAATTTGGACCGAGTAATCGATATTTAATATTGACTGCAGCTGCTACAAATTAGGCTGTTTGATGTTTAATATCGATTACGTTTACTGCGAATTTCACCACCAATGTTTGATATTAATTAAAACTACTCGATTTGATCATTTAACGCTCGTATTAATTAAATCTACGCCACATTTTCGACCAAAGCAATGTTTACTCGCCTCAAATTTCAAATATACGTCTAATCCCTCGATTCGCCGGCCGACATGATGAATCATCGTGAACACAGGCTCCCAAACCACATGGCTCTTCTCTTCCTTGAGGAAGAGAGTCATGTTCATGGCGATGCCGAAGCACAGCTCGCCGGCGTATGCTAGGTTCCACGCGTCGTGCAGAAGCTTCGCTCTCGTTAACGGAGGTATTTTCTCACGGTCTGGTCCCTGTAGATACTGCGACAACATCTTCCAGTTGCACGAGTCGTAATTCACCGGGAACATTGCTGCAGAGAAATCATGTTTCTATATTTATCGCAATTAATTTTCTCAAAATGTGTTAGAAGAAAGATACTTATATAAAGAGGAATACATTTTTCTCCAACAATTGTAAAGATTGATATTAAACAAACAGCGCCAAAATATGTGTAGAACTCGAAATGTTTTAATTGCACAAAATTATAATTTGCTGTTAAAAGAAATTCGATTGTGACGGTCCTTTTTTTGAAACTGATATTTGCTTACCTATTTCTTCAGGATTGACAATGATAAAATTATTTTTATCGCTGATATCCGTAATAGTTAAATTTCTCGGTTCGTTTTCTTTTGTTAACCACACGGTTGGTTTGGTGTTGTAGAAGTTCAATTTATTTTGAGCCTGCATCACTATCGGAATGTCCCATAGATACGATATTTTCGCCGTTGATTCCGACGCAATGTCTCTCAGGTAGACTTTCTAGAGAGACAAAAAAAAAATTCATAATTATTATCACAAAGATATTTTTATCTTACCTTTTTGGAAAAATTATTACTTAATAAATATCTTGGTAAACTTTTGTCGATCTTTTATTTTTTTGATTGATTTAACGTCATAGAGCTTCTTATTAATAAATATTAATTTAAAATAAAATAGTATAAAAATTTTAAAAACAATATACACATTAAGCATCGAAGAAATTAGTAATTTTAAGATAAATAATAAATAAAATAATTAAATTATAAAGCGATGGAAGCAAAAGGAGCTTGATATTAGTGCGAACAAACTTGTATTGTGTTATAAAAACATTGAAATAAACAGACGTTTTAACCTGTCATCAGGCTATTCTCAGTGTCAAATAAATAAAGTACATATGAAAACGCACGTTGATAAATTACAATGAGGTATAGTTTAAGACAATATAATTTAGACGCAAGATTTGTTGTCAGATTAATAAAAAAAGTTAACGTTTTACAATTGATACAATCCATAATAATGCTTGTCGGTTTTACAAATAAGAGATGGAAGAGAACGAGAAGATAACTTATTGGTTTGATAGTCAGATTGTTAATGTCGATACTGAAACTATGTACATCACATTGATATACATTTTTGCTCTTTTTGCTTTCATTGTTTTATAATTTTATTATTTGTTGAGTCTTATCATCGTTAATTTTAAAATAATTATAGGCGCCGCTATATAATTACTTAAATTTTATCTTTGCAACTTCTCGTAATCGATGTATTTTCATAAAAGCGAGGCACGCAATATATATTACGTAACATATGTTTGTACTAAACGCATTAAGTCCTTGATTTTATTGTTTTTTCCGAACGACGCGGCCGTTGTAATGTGCGCGCTTCAGGGACTTGTTAATGTAATCAGCTAGGCGTACTATGCAAATGCTTCTTTTCAACTTATCTGTTTTGTCTGTCAGAAATAATATGTTTGTTTTGGACGTAACAATGTGTTTTACAAATAACTCAATCATTGCACATATTTGTCACATAATAATATATATATATTTCATTATATTTATTATCTATTTATTATTCATATTAAAAATTATATCATTGCTTTATTTTTAGTATGTCTTTTTAATTTCCTTATGTTTTATGCATGTATTTTAATTTATGTAACTGATAGTGTAATGCATAAAATATTTAACATAAGACTCTACTTTACTATATTATCTCTTTATTAATTTCATGTAATAAATCTCAACGTGACACTCGCTAGTAAACATTGTTATCTCTCGGTCTTATTTCTGTTTGCCAATTCCCGCTACCAATGTAAATGTAACTTCCGTTGCCGAGGAATGCGCGAGTAAATAGCACACGCGTGGCCCGTCACTTTATCCGTGCGAAAATCGTGTCTGCCTTCCTGCGTCGCGCGTCCTTGCTTTTGTCCAGCTTACCTGACTGAGATTAATTTTTCCAGTTTCGTAATCGCGATTGACGGTGACCAACGGCACTCTGTCCCGATTGATCCACGACGCGGCGATGCTGTTGATGGTCAGACCTGGCGGTAAATTGTTCGTTTCGTTCGCCACATTATTCAGGTAATTGAAGATGTCATCGGCGAAGAAGGTTCTGCGATCTCTGAATATGAAAAATGCGATTTCGCGATATATAGACTCTGCGGTCGATTAATAGCAAATAAAAGTAGCCGGGAAGCAGTGCGTAAATAAGAAATTTTTATATGCTTTAATTATTCACGATTTTTATCTATTTATAATTTTAATCTACATAAAGAAACTTAATTTTTGCTTTTAAATGTATTGCGGAGATAATAATTTGTTTTTATATAACAATAATAAAAAAATAGTTTGTTCGTAAAAATAAAAAAGTATGAGTTTAAAATCTGCTTCCCAACTAATTGACGGAGGCAATTACTACTCTTTCGACTGCTGATGGAAGAAATTCCTCACACTTCTCTGGAACAGCTCGTAACCAAGGGTGTAATTAAACATTCGGAATACCAACTCGGCTGTAAAATAAACAAAAAAAAAATTCATTTAAAATACTTACATAACCATTTGAGTTTTAAATTTTATTCGAATTATGTATGATAATTATAATTATACAATATTCTCTTTTATACTTTATGTATAATTTAAAATTTTTCCTTGAATGTTAGATTAACGAGTTATGTTTAACCATAAATATAGATTAACCATAAATTAGAATGTATTTTTATTCGCACTGTGCTGTAAAAATTCTGAGTATTATAATTTATCTTAATTACCTTTTGTCCACGTTGCTTCTTGTCTAATACCGGCGACCCTGGAGAAAGGTGCCGTCTGCGCAAATTCGTAATACAAAGAATACAGCATCGTCATCGGCCATTTTCCTTCCATTTCGTTTGGATTTAGCTGTCGTGTGTTTAAAATGCATAATTTATTTCTTGCAAATTAACATGGCCATTTTATATAAAAATAAAACAAATTTAATTGTACATTTTCCGCTCTCTATAATATCAATATTAATAATTTTGTAGTAAAGACTTTTTGAATAGTTGAAATTATAAAAAAATACTGGTATTACTAAAATAAAGAATGAAAGAAAGGGTAAAGACTCACATCGATTGTCATCATAGACGCCAAGAACGAATTGAGAGCTTTGTTAACCGGCGCATCATTTCGACGATATGGAGTCACGGATTGACCAATCCATTGATAAAGAAGTTCGTAAGCAGTAGTCCAGACGAGAGAACTGCTGATTTCACTTTCCCTAAAAAGATAAATTTATTTCGCACGTGTAAATAATCACGATTCTATCATAAGGATAAAAGTAAAGCAAATTCAATCACTTAATTATAAAAGTTTCACTCTGTCTGTAATGTAATAATATTTAATAGCAGGCACAAAAATATTTGCAATCATCGTGGATGCTGCTGCATCAGAAATTCTAACGTACTTGAAGAACATGAGACCCCAGTTGTCGGACGCTTTGGAAGCACTGTACATGGGCATCGCTACGATGTCCAATTTGGGTAAGCCGATGGAGCTGTTGAAGTAGTCTTGCGCATAATTAATAATCCTTACAACCTTGTCGGGAACGTTAACCAGTGACTCCAAGAAATCCTTGCGACCCCAGACTCTCACTTGCAGCTTTTTCCCGTTTATCTCGTTGACTTCTATCGTAGGATGGATTTCCTGCAGATCCGATATCAGAAGAGCCAATTGGTTCGTTGAGATTCGAGGTGTTTCTGCAAACTCCTCCCGGATTATCGAATTCTCCTGAACTCGTGAACTTTAGAGGGACACAGCGAAATGCAAAAATTATTGTCAGAGAACACCACGGCTATGCGAGACGTGAAAATTAAGACTATTTCTTTATCGCGTCTGGGGAGTTAACAGATTCTAAATGCGCGAGATATTCCGAGGAAAAATCAATGAGTTTTCACATCAATAATATATACGTACACCGATGGCGAGTTCGTGAGTGCCTTGTATTCTTTCGGATACAACAAGCTCAGCTTGAATGTCGCTTTGTACGGCGGTTCATCCATGCAGGGTAACATCTTCTGCGCGTTCTCTAATTGCAAATAAGTGGAGACGAAGGGGCTGAAAGAAGAGAGAGAAAAAAAAGCAAGTCAGCTTTATCGCTACTTT